CAGACCCCCCCCGATAAGTTACAACAGCACCGCCGTCCCAAACGCCTTTATCAGGAAAAATTTCAGACTTATCTTGCTGTTTTTGTGTTTGTTCGGCGTTCAAGTCGTTGCCTTTTGCGTGTTTGTCTATGGAAGGACCGGTCATACATTCTGCTATGCCGCGTTGACTCACGGGCTTGACCTTCTTACGGCCCCTCATATCTATTTTATGATCGATAATACTAAGTTCTGCACACTACGGAGCAATCTGGCAGCAATGGACGTTTTTGGCTGAAGGAATGAAAATGTACGGATCGGCCTCACTTTGTTCCTTATTTCCAAAGGCCAAAAAGGCCTCTTCATTCCTTTTAAGTAATATATTACTTAAAAAAAAAACACTGGAACTGTATCGTCCCAGTGCTGCACGTTTTGTTAGAGCACATCAGGGCAACTGGTGATTTTCCACAGCAGTTTACCAAAACGGTGGTATCCCCTATTTTGAAGAAGGGTGACCCGTTGGTGGCAGGAAATTATCGGGGCATTGCAGTTGGAGGAGCACTTGCGAAATGCTATGCGTCAGTGATCCTTAACCGCCTGGTACGTGCTGGGGAAATACTGGACCTGCGGCACCCATGCCAAGCGGGTTTCAGGCGGGGTTTTGGCACTGCCCACCACCTCTTTGTCAAGCAACACCTGGTCAGGCGGCATCGGATCGCGGGACAACCGCCGTTGATAATAGTACAGATTGACTTTGAGAAGGCCTTTGATAGGGTGCCTCGCGAGCACATGTGGCTTCGGTTGCAGGAGAGGGGGATTAGCGGCCCCATGCTAGGTGCTCTGAGAAAAGCGTACGAGAAGGTGTCCATGGTGATGAAGGTAAATGAGAAAGTGGGGGGAGAGTTTGAGTCTAAGCAAGGAGTGAAGCAAGGGTGTCCTTTATCTACTGAGTTGTTTGGACTTTTCATCGAGACACTACCCGATCTGATTGATACTCATGACCTTGTAGAAGCTGGTGCACGTAAGTGTGACGCACCCCTTGTGGACAGCAAGCGCGTCTCCATACTGTTGTATGCAGACGATGTTAGTCTGCTAGCGACGTCAGTAGAGCGAATGTCTGAGTTGCTACATCTTGTGGACTTGTTTTGTGAAGCTTTTGGGATGCGACCAAATGTCTCAAAGTGTGAAAGGCTTGTTTTTGCATGTGACGGCACCCAGCAGTCGGAACTTAGCGGGAGATGTCAACAGTTACGGCTATCAGG